CTGAGTTAGTTAGGCCCTGGGCACTCGAATGTGAGGCCGACAATGCATGCTGGGTATAAAGGCCGAAAATGCCAAAGGGAAATCGGCCCACTATCTGAATCTGGCCGCAGGTCTTGATGAAGGAGGCGCAACTGCATTGCCCCGGGGCCCAACTGTATCGGGCTGGGTTCAGCCTCGGGGTCCCGGTCACAGGCTGAAGGGAGGCCACCCACACGCTGCACTGGCATATAGGCAAGCAGGGCGAGTGAGCAGGGATCTTGGCCAATGCAGGCATTGCGGGCACGCTGCGCAAATGCATGTGTGCTGCGCTGTGCATGAGTTGCGCTGCGCTAAGGTGAAGCAGGCTAGCGCTAGGCGGTAGGTGGTAGGGCGCTGCCTGCATGCATGGCACTGGMGGCCATAGCCGGGCCGCATGAGGGTGCAGGAGAGGTAAAGGGCGAAGGTGGTCTTCGGAGGTGAAGGGCGCTGTTGTGGGTACAAGGGAGAGTGTGGGTGAAGAGGACACGTACCTGGTGGAGGTGGAGGTCGGCATTGGTGTTGACATCATCACTCGCTGGTAGTCAAGTTGTCTGGTTGCTTTCATCGCTGTAGTTGTAGGCTAGGCTGTAGAGTAGATAGGGCGCCCGGCGCCATTCATAAGAGAGAGCTACATTGGGTTATGCTGTTGGTGTTGCCCTGTTGGGCATGGACATTGACTCACGATTCTTCTGTATCATTCTCAATTGGATGGTTACTCGGTTCCATTGTACTATCTGCTTTGGCTTTGACTACTTGGACTTCAGTGTGATTTTGCATTCTGGATTTCTGTGCTTCGTCCATATTCATGTTCCTTGCAAATGAAAATTTGCTGCATCAATTTTGGAGGACATGGACACTAGTCTCCAGATATGGCCCCCACCAATTTTGCACCAAAGGTTGATTATTACTACCATCTTCACCCGAATAGAGCGCCCACTGCCCGGTCATTATCACTGTATTTAGACTGAAAGGTGCCCCAAATACAGCGATAATGTCCACTGTGTTCTATTCGGGTGAACAAGGTAGCCTCTTCCTCAAAACACAATCCCCAAGCCTGCTCATGCAGTCTTCACCTGAATAATTCCCGGCAACTGTCCGTCTAGAATCTAGATACAGCTATAATGAGTAGGAATTTCTCACAGGCAATCTCTTTTTCGATGGGCGTTCTATTCAGGTAAGACAAGTACAGAAGCATTGACAATTCTTCAAAAAAAAAAAAAAAATAATAATAATAATAATATTGACATGTAATGACCTGCAAAATCGCAAACTGAGAAATCTGCTGTTTTCTGAGTTTTGCCGCTGGACTGAGCAACTTGCTGAGATTTCTAAGTGCGTGTGCGTGCATGATTGCTGAGTTTCTGTGTGTTAACCTGCCTGCATGATTGCTTGTGTGTGTGTGCAACCCGCCGAGGTACTTGTGTGCTGGGAAGGCCTGCGTGCCTGGTAGTTGCGTGTGGCGGTGCTTTTGTGAGGGTGCAGCGGGGAATAAGAAGTAGGCTAGGCCTGCATAGGATGGAAAACACTCGAGTAGCGGGTAGGTAGACAGAAGAAGACAAAAAGTTAGAACCTTTAGAGGCCAAAGTGAATTTTAGAAGTCTGGTAGGCTTAGAGTCTAGGGGTATCGGTCCAGTTGTCTGAGTCTAGGGCCTGCGGAGGGGGGGATATCAAACTGCAATGATGTTCCCTCCAAATTGGTGGAGATACTCTTAGCTTTGTGAGGACGGGCAGCCCGGAAAGTCACCGTCCAAAGAGGAAGTAATCCGTTTTATCTAGGAAGAGAGTGAAGAGCTCTTCCTCATTTGCACGCGAGCAGTTTGGCGTCATGCTGCCTGGGCGACCGCCAGGTGGAGTAGTGCTGGGGAGGAAGGAGGTGGGCTTGGCCCTCCTCCATGGCTACGGTGGAGAGGACCATGGAGGAGACCCCGGGGAGTAGCGAGGAAGAGGAGGAAGAAGACGGTCAGCAAGGAGCAGAGTGATGGGGTGTTTACTTGGCTATGGTAGACTGCATCTTCATCTTCTTGGTTGGCGCTGTACCTGGAAGGCCCCAGTTGGGGTTGGCCTCTACAGGGGAGACTTCGGGGGTAGTGATAGGCTATGAGGCATGGCGGCCATAGCAGGACACATTAGCTTTGCTTTGCCGTTTGAACACCGGAGCTCTGCTCTGTTAGTCCGCATAGCCACCTAGTACTTGACTTAGGAGGAGGAAGGTGTATGAGATGGCTATGATGGACCTCCTGAGTGGCTGGCAGTAAGGCGATGATTCAGTCATTGGTTCTGGTTCATTCTTCCATTGTAACAGTTATCATTATTATTATTGTTAAGAAGAATTTGGGAGAGTAAATGGAGGTTGGAGATGGTCGCGCGACGAAGGGGGATCGACATTGGTCTTTGCTGGTGATCATCTTCTTCTCCTTAAATTTTTCCTTCCATTCTCATTTTCTTCTTCTCCTTTTGTCTATTTCTCCTTCCTAGATCTTTCATTTCAGTTGCAATTGAACAGCATTGTCTTTTTTTGAGTTGTCGCACTTCAAGATAGGCAGGGTCATAACAATATTGTTGCATTGGTTGCAATAAAATAATAACAAATTAATAATACTACCTACTTATAAAATAATAATAATAATAATAATAATAAAAGAATTGACAGCTCATAATAAGGTATGCCATCAAATCAGCAAGCCGAGCTTTATTCTGTCTGTTTAGTTTCTTACACTCTACGTGCATATGCATTGGTCTGTACTTGGACGACTCCTGAGCTTGATTCGGCACCATGCCTAATTCATTGACATCATCAAGAAAAGAAACAACAACTCACCGATACCATTGGCACGGACATCACTGCTCTCCGTGGTCAGAAGCGCACCGAGTGTAAGATGAAGAAGGTCAGGGAGCACATCAATTATCTCTGATGTAAATTCCTGGAAGACACAGATCTTGAGAAGAACGTAAAGAACTTCCACCCTCACAGCATCCCTGCACGGAGAAGGCAATAGTAAGAGAGGGAGTGTCAGACTCAGAACTCGGTAACTGAAGGAGGAGGGGAGGGAGGGTGGGCAAGGGTGGGCAATGGTGGGGTGGGTGGGTGGGTGGGTGGGAGGGAGGGAGGGAGGGAGGGAGGGAGGGCGCGGTGGGTGTATGGGATAGATCTGAAAGACAGCTCGGAGTCAGAGTCAAAGTTGGAAGAAGAAGAAGAAGAAAAAGAAGAAGAAGAAGAAGAAGAAGAGGGAGAACAAGAAGAGGGAGAAGGGGGAGAAGAAGAAGAAGAGGGAGACGAAGAAGAATGCAAGAAAAGAAGGTGAAGGTGAAGAAGAAGAAGGTGAAGAAGGTGACGAAGAAGGTGACAAAGAAGAAACGACGAAGAAGGTGGAGAAGGCGAAGAAGAAGAAGGCGTTGATTCCAATGAAAGCGAAGAAGACGGCGAAGAAGGCGAAGAAGAAGGCCAAGAAGGCGAAGGCGAAGAACGCGGCAAAGAAGAAGGCAGCGAAGGTGAAGAAGACAAAGAAGAAGGCGGCGAAGAAGGCGAAGAAGGCGAAGAAGGCGAAGAAGGCGAAGAAGAATAACGCAAAGTAGGCAAAGAAGGCGAAGGCGAAGGCGAAGATGAAGATGGCAAAGGCGAGGGCGAAGAAGACAACGAAGAAGAAGGCGAAGAAGAAGAAGGTGAAGAAGGTGAAGAAGGCGGTGACAAAGAAGAAGGCCGAGAAGGCAAAGAAAAGGCAAAGAAGGCGAAGAGGGCGAAGAAACCGAAGAAGAAGGTGAAGAAGGCGAAGAAGGTGAAGAGGTCGAAGAAAGCGAAGAAGGCGGCGAAGAATAAGGAGGAGAAGGTGAAAGCCGTGGCGAAGAAGAAGAAGAAGAAGAAGAAGAAGAAGAAGAAGAAGAAGAAGAAGAAGAAGAAGAAGAAGAAGATGACGAAGGCGGCGAAGGAGGCGAAGGCGAAGAAGGTGGAGAAGGCGAATAAGGCGGCGAAGAAGAAGGAGGCGAAGAAGAAGGTGACAAAGAAGAAGAAGAAGGCAAAGAAGAAGGCAAGACGGAGAAGAAGAAGAAGAGGGGACCTCTGCAATGACTTGCTGTTTTCTGGTCGCCTGTAGCCTCTCTCTGTCGAGGCAGTACTTTAGGTAGGATAGATTCATAATTTTGTTTGGCTGAGGGCTAACCGAGAGACCTACCTGTGAGGGGAATCCGTGAGGGACATATCTGCAAATACGGGAAAATACAGGCCCGGTACTACCCAACTTCCCTACAGCTACCCTAACTGCGTATAACAGGCCCGGGCTACCCCTAGGACAGACAGGCCCTAAGCGGCCTATGCTGATAGACGGCTATAGCCTATAGCCAGGTCCGGTAGAGGCCGAGAGGCCGAAACAGAAACGGTACCGGTCGGTCAGTCAGTCCGGTCTAGGTCCAGTCTAGGCTAGTCGTAGTCTATAGATAGATTGGGCACATCGGTTCAGGGCTTTTTGGCAGTTGGTACCGACTACATCGCTGCGGTGATACGCGTGAACCGGAAGTGGTGACGGCTCAGCGTGGAAGGAGACAGGCATAGCCAGACCTTCGGAGTGCAGGCCATAGCTGGGACCTGCACTGTACTCTGCCAGCACGCAGGGGCTGACAGAGGTCTGGGTTATCGAGGTCTGCTGGAGGCGAGAGAGATTGGTGCCCTGCTGGACCCTCCTCCGGAGYGGGGTCCCAGRGGGTTTGCGCTGCAGCCATAGCTGCAGCYTCTTCWTCTCAGRGGWCATCTTGTCAGGGTTTGGTGGCGCTGCTGCARACTTCCAYCCGGGAAGTCTTCCGACACTTCGTCATCATCAGATACTGTGGCGCTGGTCTTCTTCTTCATCCTCTGAGTGGCGCTTGGCCTCAGAGGCCTGTTTCACGGTGGCGCTGCCCCCAGGAGGCTGTATCTGGGTGGCGCTTGATGTTCCAGGGGCTCAGGGGTGTTACGGGTGTTATTCAGGGTTGGGGAGTGAAGCGCTGCTCATTTATGAGCAGAGCACTGTAGTACTGAAGTTATCCTGACAATTCGAGACTCTGAGTTTAATAAACAGTGTAATACAATGTTTGGACTATCGTCGTTTCATTGTTTCCTGGATGTGATCTGCTCGACTTTTCTCTATGACTGGTTGTGAGGATTGAGTGGAGTGAATTGCACTTTCAGTGTACCCTGTCATATCGCATGGTCAAGTCTTCCGTTGTGTTTATCTCTCCCTGTGCGGTGTGATACTCCTATCCTCTCCCCCTTCCTACTGTGTATGTATGGGCATATCCGAAAGTCTATGTGAGTGAGTGTTGGCCTTCAGGCAACGGACAACCAGAATCATAACAGTTGGTATCAGAGCAATTGGATCCAGGCTCTGGAGCGATTGATGAGTTGGAGCATCCATCATCATCTGGCGAGATACTGGAGTTGAGTTTCATGGCGATTCATCATCTTCAGGGTGGTTGTCAGTAAGGGTGGTGGTTGTGAGTGTGTGGCGAGAAGAATTGGGCAGAGAGTGACTTACTCCTGACTGGGGTTGTGCAGGAGTGGTTGGCGATTGATACTCAGAGGCCTGGGAGGCTCTGAGAGGCTAAATATAGCCTGGCGATTCACCTGGAGGTTGGCGATTGTCAAGGAAGTGATCCCAGAAGGTGGCAATTGTGGAATTGGGTCAGGATCCCCAATTTCCAAGCAGCGCTGTACAGGGTGATGTGGCGCTGCACTGACTTTGTCAGTTATTGGCACCTGGGAGTCATCATTCTTTGATTCTGTCAGTTGGGGGTGAAGCGCCTCAGGGTAATCTGCTGGATCACCAAGTTTCAGTAAATTTGGTACGTTGGAACATTGGATACTGCCAGGAGGTGAAACTAGCGAGATGGGGTTGACAAATCAGCCATAGCCAGGGTTTCATGCATCTTCTTCAGAGTTGACCCTGAAGTAAGTGTGTTCCTTACTCCATCCTGTGTGGCAATTCTGGGCTATTTTTAGGATAGCGAAATTTGGTCTGTCTGTCAGGTGACAGCTGAAAATCAAAATTCAGACTGTGAGACAGCCATATCCAACTTCCCCTACCTATCTTCTTTGACTTCTACTAACCCTGTTTGACCTTCCCTCTGGCTCCTATTTCATCTTGGACTGCTTTACAGTATTGCGATTAACACTATGTAGTGAATGGGTGAATTTAGGGGTCTGTTGTCAGTGATAATGCAAATTTGAATTCTGCGTTGACATAGCTAAAGCTAGGCTAGACTAAGGTCAGTCATAACTTTGATTCTGCCCGTCAGAATTCAGTTTTGTCAGTCCCTGGTAAATCGCAATTCAGTATTCTATCAGTGTCTAAAATCGCACATCCAGATTTGATGTTCTGAGTGAAAACTGTAATTCGCCATACCCAGGGTATGGCATACAGGGTCATACAGTGTTGAGGTCTGTAGGGTAAGTCTAAAAATAGGATATCCTGTAAATCGCAGCATCTTGGTCATCAGTGGAGATTTGTCTAATCCTAATAGTCACTCTGTCTAATTACTAATCAATACTAATTAGTCCAAGACTGCGTCCTGTCAATTATTGAAACAGGATTTGCAATTATTGCATGCAATTGTTGTGCCAGGGTAGGGATGGAAAAATCGTGAAATTGGTTTTTGCCTGAGTGGACTCTGAACTGACCCTGACCCTCAAGTGGTCTGCTGAGACTGCGCACTCACTTGCTCAGACTAAACAGTCTTCTCTCTCCAGGCAGGTGACAGCAATTGAGTTGGTACTGAAGAGAACACTCAATTCCTGTTACCTCCTGCTTGATCCCTGATTGTTGTGTGTTTTTATTTATCTGTATTGTGGAAATGGCTGATGCAGGGAAAGCGGAGGCTTCTGAGGTCAAGCCTCAGATTCCGCTGGACCCTTTAGAGGCTGAACTGCAGGCCTAGGAGGGGAAACTCCGCCAGCAGGCCAAGGCAGTTGAGACTCTAAAAGTTGAGTTGAAGAAGAAAGAGGAAGCAACTCAGAAAGAAGCCAGGAGGAAGTTATTGATTGCAAATGTGGAGAAGATCAGGGTTAGCGGGAGTTCCAGTCAGTATAATAAGGACATGGCTGAATTCATCCTCTTGCAGGATGATATCAACCGGTCCTATTTTACTAACTGGGATGACCGGATTATCAGTTTGGAGAGCAGTCACTCTGCTTTTCCTAAAAAGTTGGATGACATCTCTCCCAATCTGGATATGATCTTCACCCACCTTAAGATCCCTACTGTTTCTCCTGCTCCCCTCTCTCCTAGACCTTCCCAAGGGAAACCTGCATCACCCCCACACTCCAGACCTGCATCTCCACCCCCTACACCCACATCAACAACAACTTCTCAACCCTCATCACCATTTGAGTTTCAGCGGCCTAAGCTGACACCGCCACCCATGTTCTCAGGTGAGGACCCAAAGGTGGATGTGGCAGACTGGGTTGCTGCACAAAGAACCTACCTGAGTGGGTTCAAATGTGATGAAGATGTGAAGGTGTCAGCCATCCTTGCTCGCTTGGAGCGATCAACACTGAAATGGTGCACCTCCACCTCCGACAAGCAAGGCATGGAGATGGCTGATTGGGCGCAGAGGTTGGGGGTGGCTGGATTTTTGCAGGCACTGTAGGACCGATTTGCAGACAAGGAAGGAGCAGGCCAGGAAGGCAGCAGACAAAATTGTGTGCTTGGGCCAGAAAAAGTTTGATGGCTCCTTGTCCAAACTGTTCTCCACCTTTGAGAGTTTGACATCGACTCCTGGGTTGGAGATGAGTGAGCAGGATCTGCTCATTCATTTCCTAAGGGCAGCGCCTGAGCAATTCCAACTTGCTCTTTTCTCTGAGGGCCACAAGGACTGGGAGTCCTTTGGTAGAGCAACCCTGGACTTGGAGTCCAAACTCCATGTCCAGGAAGCACCTTCTGAAGGAAGGAAGGGGCCCTCCTCCAAAGGGCGAAGGAGGAGGAAGGGTGCCCTGTTTGCTGCTGCAGTTTCTGGTTCAGATAGTGACGCAACATCTCAAGGTGGGAGCCCTCCACCTGGGACTGCATCATCATCTGCTGCAGATTCAGCTGTTCTTGCCCTGACCAATGCTTTGATGGGCCTGACAAAGGGTAAAACCCCAACCCAAAAAGCATCAACCAGTCGACAGGGGAAAAGAAAGGGACGTGCCTCTTCCCCTGGTGCCCAGAGAGTACCATTACCACGTGACGTCCGATGGCCAGCTGACCCCCTTGACCCTTCCACCTTCCCCTGGCATGCACTCAGGATCCAGGAGGGGGTCTGCCTGAGATGCGAGGGGGACCACTTTCTTAAGGATTATCCCAGCATGCCTCGCAGGTCTACAGGCAACTCTAGTTCAAAAAACTAGAGCAGAGAGAGGTGGAAGCAACAACTCCTTCCACCAGTGCTGATTCACTTTCTGATGGAGGTGAATCTTCACATTCTCTCGCTGGTTCTTTATTGCAGGAGTTGCATCCTCAGGGTCTTTCACTTTTGAAGACTCTGAGTTGGATGAGACGTGGGAGGAGGATGATGCTCAGTGTATTGCTGATCTTTTCTTGTCCTTGCAGGAGAAAAAGAAACATAAGTCTGAACTCATCCTTCTTCGACCCTTCATCCTAGGAGCCAAGTTCAAAGGGCTCTTAGACTGTGGGGCTACTCGCAAGTTCATCTCTCCCAAGGCAGTCAGCAAGCTGCACTTGGACCAGAGGTTGGTGAAATTGCGACAGCCTTTGGAGGTACGCATTGGAGACTCCTCCACAGTCAGGATCACTACTGTTGCCAAGGGCCTACCTGTGTCCTTTGACAAGCAGGGAGAAGTCAGGCATCGCCTGAACTTCTATGTGTTTCCCAATGTCCCCTTTGACCTTGTCTTCTCTATGCAGTGGCTTGGAACCACCAATCCTAGGATCGACTGGCGGATCCCTAGGGTTAAGCTACCTGACCGACATGGGGTATATCGCCCTTGCATGCTCGCTGACGAGTACCATCCGGCCAGCAGTTGTTATTGTATGAGTGCTCGCAGATTTCTGCGATTCTCACGCGAGACTGACCACGCCCGTCTGTTCGTGGCTTTTGTCAAACAGACTGACGTGGAGACTGCTCCCTGTCCCTCTCAGATTCAGAGGTTGTGGACAGCTTCTTAGATTTTATGGAGGAGCCTACTGGACTTGTCCATAGATAGACCAAACATAAGATTGAGATCCTGCCTGGTTCGGTCTCTCCCAAGGGTCGGGTCTACAGGATGTCTCCTGCTGAACTTGAGGAGCTCAGGAAACATTTAGAGACCCTGACCTGCAAGGGTTGGATTAGGCCCAACACATCTAAATTTGGGGCACCAGTCCTCTTTGTTCCAAAGGGGAATGGTGAGTTCAGAATGTGCGTGGACTATCGCGGTCTTAACAAAATCACGAGGAAGTCTACAGAGCCCCTTCCTCGCATTGATGATCTGTTGGATATGGTGCAAGGTTGTACCATCTTTAGCAAGATCGACCTCAAATCTGGCTATCACCAGATTGAGAAGGCGATGTCCATAAGACAGCCTTCAAAACCAGGTATGGCACTTATGAATATCTGGTTATGCCATTCGGTCTATGCAATGCTCCAGGCACCTTCCAAACAGAGATGCATCGCATACTGAGGCCTTACCTGGACAAGTTCGTAGTTGTCTACCTTGATGATATCTCGGTATTCAGTCGTTCTGTCCAGGAGCATGCGCAGCATCTGGTTCTGGTCCTCCAGGCCTTACGTGATAACCAGTATAAGATCAACAGAGAGAAGTCCTCTCTTGGGGTTTCCTCTGTAACCTATCTGGGTCACGTCATTTCTGGAGAAGGGTTGGCTCCTGAAGCAATGAAAGTTGCTGCAGTTCAGGACTGGCCGCGACCTGCTAGCATTCATGATGTCCGGTCTTTCTTGGGGCTTGCATCCTACTACAGGAAGTTCATCAAGAACTTCTCTGCGATTGCAGCACCCTTGACTGATCTCACAAAGAAAGACACTTCCTTTCTTTGGACATCCGAATGTCAGGAGGCCTTTACACGTCTCAAGGAGGCTTTGATTCGTGCCCCTGTTCTGAAGCTACCTGACCCTACTCTGCCTTTTGTGCTTACTACTGATGCTAGTCAGTATGGGGTAGGGGCGGTACTTCAGCAGGACGATGGGAATGGTTTGCAGCCTATCAAATACATGAGCAAGAAGATCAAAACTAAGAAGTTGCATGACTCTACTTATGAGAAAGAGTTATATGCTCTTGTGTCAGCTTTCAAGCATTGGAAACACTTTCTCCTGGGCAAGCACTTCAAGATCTTTTCAGATCACTCCACCCTCCAGTGGATGAAATCCCAGGGAGAGTTGAATCACAAGCTTGCTCGCTGTATTCAGTTCATTGACATGTTTGACTTTGAACTGAGACACAAGAAGGTTTGATACAATTGAGTAGCAGATGCCCTTTCTCGTAGGCTTGACGCTTTGTTTCTGATCGCCTTCACTCACTCATTTGGAGAGAGGACACGTCAGACCATTGCCCAGTTGCTGCCCCAGGATGAGATCTTTGGGCCTATTGTGAGGAATCTCCAGGATGATCCTGCCTCTGAACCAAGATATACTATGGTTTCATGCGTGCTGTATACATGCAGCAAAGGTGAGGAGCGCCTGTGCATTCCCCAGGACCGCAAGCTGATGACACTTCTGATGTCAGAGTGTCATGATGCTCGTGTTCACTTTCGTGCCCTCAAATCTTACGCAGCCCTGTCGCGACGCTTCTTTTGGAAGGAGATGAGGAGTGACATGCTGCACTATGTGGAAACCTGTGAGCTATGCCAAAGGAACAAGGTTGTACGTCGACCTCCCCTTGGCCTACTCAAACCCCTACCTATCCCTGATGCACCTGCGCAGTCAGTATCTATTGATTTCACTGACTTGGGTAAGACTACACCACGAGGTATGCGTCAGGTCATGGTATGTGTGGATCGGTTCTCCAAATATGCAGAGTTCAACCCCTTACCAGTTGAGGCTCGTGTGCCAGCCGTCCAGGCGGCATTTGCCGACAAGTGGGTTACTCATCATGGACCATCCACCTCCATCGTCGGTGACAGAGATCCCTGGTTTTGCAACAATGAATGGCAATCCTACTGTAGGGATTACCTTCATTCACGCCTGGATATGACATCTGGTCGTCATCCTGAAGCCAATGGTCAGGCTGAAGTGATGAACCAGATTCTTTTCCAACTGCTGCGTCCGGTGATCTGTCCCGACCAGCAGGACTAGGATCTCCATCTGGGCCGTGCACAGCTTGTGTATAACACTTTTGTACACTCCTCTACTAGGTTCACACCCTACCAGTTACACTGGGGTCGTGAACCACGAAAGCCTCTCGATGACGTCATCGACAAGGTTACCCCTACATTGACGCCTGGAACTGCAGAGTTCACCAGACGTTATCGTGTAGACACAGAGCGCGCCCGTGCTAACCTGTTGAAAGCCCAAAAGGCTATGATTCAACAGGCTAATAAGCACAGGCGTCCTTCTACTATTCGCACAGGTGACTGGGTGTGGGTACTCAGTTCTGAGTTGTCGCGAGAGGAGGACATATCGCCTAAGCTGCTGCCACGATACATGGGTCCATGGCAGGTCTTAGATACAGTGGGAGCTGATCCATTTGGACCATCCTATACAGTGGATGTCCCTCTGTATCTACAAACCTACCCTGTCTTTCATGCATCTAAGTTGTTGCCATTCACGCCAGTTGATGCATTCCCAGACAGGCCTCCTCAGTTCGGTCCCCCTATCCCTGGCAAAGGGTATGAGGTCGAATCTGTGGAGGATGAGTCAGGTACAGGTCCAGATATGGAGTACCTTGTGAAGTTCTTGTACCAGCTGCACACTGAGGACCGTTGGTTTACTCGCAAGGAACTTCTGAAGACATCTAAGTCTGTCATCCTCAAATATGAGGCAGCACAGAAGGGAGTATCCCTTCGACGCTCTGCACGCCTACGCGCCCTAGCTCGGAGGTCCTCGCTCCGGGGGAGGGTAGGTCTGCAATGACTTGCTGTTTTCTGGTCGCCTGTAGCCTCTCTCTGTCGAGGCAGTACTTTAGGTAGGATAGATTCGTAATTTTGTTTGGCTGAGGGCTAACCGAGAGACCTACCTGTGAGGGGAATCCGTGAGGGACATATCTGCAAATACGGGAAAATACAGGCCCGGTA